AATTAGCCAAGGCTGTAATTAGATATCTAGTTTTATGGGTGCAAGAACATTGTATATATGAATTGTTTTATAATTACATATTGTGAATTTTATAGAAAGGATTTATTTATTTCCACTAGGTTGCGGTTAAGACAATGACTGGTTTATTCTTCGTTGGTTCTTGAGCTTTAAACCGTATCTTTTATTTTCACATTTGAGCAGCTGTTTCTTTGGAGTAATTCAGCTTAATAAAAACCTCAAATATTATTAAGAATTTATCATTTAATAGTTGATAGTGAGATAATTACTTGAGGTTGGTCTTTGTCAAAGATGATGTTAGAGCAACACGAATACAAGATATATGTTTGAAAGATTACATTTTTATTAAGTTCCAATATGTTAGGTATAGAGAGATAGATAGATAGATTGATAGATAGATATATAGATAGATAGACAGATATATATTTATTTGACCATTGCTTACATGCATTCATACAAATGTGGTATCTCTGAACTATAAAAGAATTTTTAATAAAAGTCACTATACAATCATGTCTACATACATTCCACAATTGCGGTGTATCAAATTACAGTCTGAACTAAATAAATATATTTCTGCTATATAATCTGCGTTCCAAAGTAGACAGGACTTTTCAAAAATAGGTATTTCTAGCGAGACCATCTATTGGCAATTATATGTGATAGAAAGGTAGACTCTTCATTTATGTACTGTCAAAATCTCATGACATTTGGACGAATGGAAGCGGAGTTATTGCGTCTGAAGTGACAGTATGTTTGTGTCATCGGTCCAAAAATGAACATCGAACAAAGAGCTAATATTAAGTTTTGTTTTAAACTTGGTAAAACTTTTACCGACACGTTAATATTGATAAACCAAGTTTATGGTGGTGATTGGTTATCCCATGGTAGAGTTAATGGTTGGTATACACGATTTAAAAGTGGTCATAAGGATATAAATGATGAACAAAATGTTGACCAACCGAAATTCGTGGTCACGCGTCAAAACTGTGCGTGAAATTCATGGAATTGAGATTGAGCATCTCAACGATATCAATTTATCGCATTTTGTCCGAACATTCGAGCTACCGAAAAATGTGTGTAAGGTTTGTTCCCCACAAGTTGACTGCCGACCAAAAATTGCTCAGAATTCGAACGACATCATCAAGAAGGTCAAAAAGGACAAACACGTCATTTACTATATTGTAACTGGTTATGAAACGTGGTATCGTGGTTTTCAATTTGGTCCAGAAACTAAGTGCCAAAGTGACGAGTGGAAGGTGCCAGATAAGCCAACACCCAAAACATCTCGTTTAAAGAAATTAAAAGTGAAGAAAATGTTGATGTACTTTTACGATTCCAAGAGCACAAAGAGTTCGTTCCACCGGGCCAAACCATTAATACACAATTCTATCTTGGCGCTTTGAAGCGTTTGGTGCATCATATTCGGCCTAAATATCGCACTGAAAGAAATTGGCGTTTGTTTCACGATAATGCGCCATCTTATCGAACTGTTAACCACTCCTCGTATTCGCCATTTCAGAAAAATGAGTGTGCTGATGAAATAAATGTATATTTTATGCGATTATTTGATGTTTGTAATGTTATTGGTGCAAATGTAAAACTGTATTGTTAAAAGTTTCACTGTAGTTGTGAGAAATCGTAATGTGACGACATAATTTTCATTAAAAACAATGTTGATTAGTACAACATCTGTACGTAAAATAAATGTAGCATTTTAATGGTTATTCAACTGAAGGTTGAGATTTCAATAAATATTATTTTAAAGTTCATATTATTATTGAGACGGAAACATCAATTAAGTGCCATATAGATCTAACAAGTAAGTAAATTTAATTGAAACTTGAAAACGCCGACTTTTAATGTTCGTAGTTAAACACTAATGAGGTGAGATTAATAGGAATATTTAACTTTTTCATTCGAAAAAATGCTGAAGAATTATATCTTTAATAAAATAATTTTATGAGAATATATATTCTTATATTTATGTACTTTTTTATGTTGTCGGTTACATACATTAGTTACCTACTATAAAGTATATACAGGCTATCAAAAAATTAATTCTCACATAAAATTCAGTAGTGAATTAAATTCGAATACGATTCAGAAGAGATATTTTAGGTTAGGACGTTTTATCCTTAGTTTTTGCCAAGTTTCAGGTAGGTAATTATTTAAATCATTTGTACCCAAAAAATTGGAATGTTCATAACTTCTTGAGTGGTTGAAATAAAAATTTGAAAAAATTTATGAAACCAAATCTAAATATGTACTAAATAAAACCAAAAAATCAGGAAAATTAAAAATGGTTCTGTAACGACCTTAGTGATTTGGTATAGCCCATAAAAATATGAAAAAATTCATATGCATATTCTAAATGTGTAGTAAATAATACCAAAAAATCAGGAAATTTAAAAATGGCCCGGTCACGACCTCAGTTATCACCGTAAAGAAATCAACTCAATTTTTTGTTTAAACGAATCTACACCCAATTGTGTTGAAATAATAACTGTAGTAGATGAGTACTGTTCACTCAGTTATATGTTAGCTAAATAAATCTTATATTGATAACATTGAATAAATATCGAGTTAGCTTGCTAACTGTATGTCAATTTACACTGTTATTTTTTATCGTGTACATAATTTATTATAACAGAATTCAGGTTTTAGATAAGATTTATAAATCATTATTTAGAAATTTTATCAAGTACTACTAAGTACATCTGTTATCAGAATTGTAAGACATGAGAAAGTACGGCTAAAATTTTATAAAACTCGAATAATTGAAGATTATCTTCATATAACTTTCTCCATGATTCAATAACCATGTACATCAAAACATGTGGTTTATAAATTGTTGTTCATTCTAAGTCAGTTTATCTTTACGAAATTGTAACATAATATTATGTATTTACAGATAATAGGTCACTCCCGCATTTACCGATATGTACATTTAAATTCTACTATACTTACAGTTTCATTTTATTGAGTATTTTATTTTTATTAAAAGAAAACATGCGAAATAAATCCCTGGATCTAAATACATTGTTTTCATATTTAGAAGTAGAAGAATTCCCAATATAATCAAATTTAAATCATTGTAAATCAATACTTTTTTTGTATCTTGTTTAATATTTAATATTATTTGGAAATGTTTCCATTGATATGACATTATGTATAAAATTTGGTGGACATTAAGATATGTTTTACAGTTGTAGCATTATAATAGCTCTTAGAATATAATTTCCAGAAGAATTTTTATATGCAATAAGAAAAATGAATTCAGATGTACGTTACAAGGATTACTGAAAACATTAACTTACGATTTCATGCTGTTCTTCATTTGTATTTTAACTACTGAAAATAATAAACATTAGACGTTGTGTCAGAAAATATACTTAAATATGATAATAAATTAATTTTTATTATTTAAAAAATGCAAGGGAGTTTTTATTTTAATTTAAAAAAGTGTTCTAAGAGAGTGGAAGAAATAAAAAGAATGAAGTAAATACCACTTTAAAGTTTCTCTTAGATCTCAAAATAGGCGCCAGAGAGAATGCCAGTAGTTTCATCATTTCAGTATTTCAAAATCATTAAATTATATTTATTGCCATTGAGAAGTTCATGCCTGCGTAATACATAATATGAAGTAAGAAAAGCTACTTCTAAAAAGAACAATCTTAAGAATGTCTATAGATTGTGCCAATTTATAGATATACTGTTCCAAATATAAAATACAAAAATTTGCCTATATGAAATTCTTAAATAATAAATATGTTTTTATTCTTGCTAAAATATGGCACGGTACAATAATATATAAAAGTCGAATTGTAGAAGTGAGTACGAATAAAGAAAAATTAGGATTGGTTTTGCAGGTAAATTTAAGTTGTAATGTAATGTAAAAACCAGTAAGATTTGCTATTAATTCGAGAATAGAATTTAAGACCTTCCACTAATTTGTAGTCTAGCAAAAACTACAATTTCAAAAGTGTGACACATTTTGTATTTTCTAACGATTACGATTTCTGTAAAACCAAAATATCAAGAGAATTGAAGAAAACAGTTACTTGTGGGTTCATAAAAGTCAAACAGTTTGTTAATTTGTTGTTTGTTAATTTAAAAAAATATATATTTACGCAGTCACCATCAAACTGAAACGTAATAAAATAAACTTGATATGATATCTTATTTGAGTTTCTAGTGTAGTTTCAGTATCTTTTCTGTTTATTGGAGTATTTTGCCAGCTGGAAAAACTTAAAAAAAAACTGGTACCAAAACGAACAGTGAAGGGTTGCTGTGCTGTTATTAAATTATTTTTGCTTAACCAAAAATTCACAGCAAAAAATAGATAAATAAAAAATATGCTTGACTATCCCAGTGAAAACATGATGGTTTAAATACCATTAAGATACGTAGTTTTCGTTAACATAATATTAAAGATTGAAAATGCATTGTATTAAGTTCACACGAATTTCCAATCAAACGTTGAGAAAACTTAATAGAACTTATAAGAAATGTTCAATGCACAAGTTAAGTAATACTTACATTTAAAAGATGTAAAAACTGGGAAAATTTAACAAACAAAACTCATCAACATTAATGAGACTTTCGAAAATTAACTAAAATCTTAATATCCCTTCATTAATTTATAACAGAATAACACCTCGGTATAAATATAAGTAAAGGAGATATATGAAAAAATGCTTCTCAGTAATATCTTTAGCACAACAAGAGTATAAATCAACGATTAATATACAAAATAAACAAAAAATATAAATTTTGTTGTAGTCCGTCGAACAGGGTGTTCAGATAAAGTATCATATATTCTACTTATTAAATTATTAATTAAGTATTATTCGTTACTTAACAATATTAATAACATTTTGTTTTTTTTTGGTGCATTGGTTAATTAAAACATCAGTTAATTTATCTTTTTTTCTTATTATTCGCAAATCATCCACTTATAATAGTTTTTCTGAACTCACCCTGTAGAGAGACTTCAACGGTCGCGCAAGTAGCGAATCCCTCAACTGTTAACGAAAACAGGACTATCGAGTCTAAAAATAATACTGTTCCCCAGTTGCCTCCGAATACACCGCCGTATAAACTTTCAATTAACCACTAATCTTTACAACAACAAACAAACTCTGCCGCACATGAGACTTACCAATTATATTCCAACAAGTAGCGGCGAAGAAACACTTTGAATGAACTGTCAGACAGATGCTCAGTCGGAGTATATAGCCGGCCTACATCCCCACAACTCTGTAACCTACATTGAAGCGCTGCTCCCCGACATCCCCCGGCCCCCCAAATCCTCGTGATTATCATTCTGACATTTGACCACTATCACTATCGTACGGAATATTCGCAAAGGTATCCTCTTCGGTTTTACTGCAATTAAACACGCTAGCACTACATGTCTCGAAGGTGCTCTTCGTGTTGGACAATTTCAGTTTCATGGATGAGATATCACGCTTAAATGCCAATTGTGCGAAAAATTAGCGCTATTAGCGCAACGATATGATTAATAACTCCGTAGTATATGAAAAATACTTGTGAGTTCAATTACCTTTGGGTAGACTATTTACATCGCCTCTAATATTATAAATTTGTTGTAGGCATATCTTAGAAATATAACATAACAAACATATACAAGGATATTTCAAAGACTGTAACTTTCGACCGCGTACTCCCGTCATCAAAAAAACGATAATAATATTAACTTACCTTTACAGGCTGCCTAGTTAAATTTTAATGGCGGACTTTCCATGCTAAATCAATAAAAAAGTTCATGTAAACACTTGTTGAAATAAGTAGTGGTTTCCAAGGCCAGGCTGTTATTTAAAAAAATAATATTTTTCGGATTTTTATGTCGAGGTCTATTTATGAGGGTGGACCTGCTATCGGAATTCCTAAACCTATTCTGATGTTCATTTCGGTTCTTATTGTTGGTTCTAAGGCACCTCAGACAACGGTAGTCTTCTGAGACGTTCCTCAGTAGCGTCTGTAAAAATAACTAGTCTCATTCATCTTCAGAAGTGACTTTGCAAATGTTTCGCCGCGACTGAGAGAGACTCTGAAGATGACAGTGAAGAATGGTTCACCATTTGGAAGCACTGGATTGAAGAAGCCACTGCGGAACGTCTCAGAGGGTGGATCTAGGAGTTCTAACAGCGGTTTCGTCACCACAGCGCCTAGCCCGAGAACAACAAGGGTAGGTTAAGGGCGGAAGTGTAAGGTAAACCTGCATCTGGAGGTAATTAGGCATAGTTGAGCCGAGAGCCGTTGGATCTTTATGTTCACGTCATCAACATACATAAATATAAAGGACAAATGTTCAATTATTATTGATCAACTGGAATTAACTAATGATAGAAAAAGACGAGCAATCCCCTTCCTGTGTTGTGCGACAGAGGTTATTAATTGTCCCTTTTGAATGAGAAAGACACAAACATACTGTCGTTCGTTGTGCGCTTAAAATGTAGAAATATTATATTTGACCAGCATCGTGTACTGCGTTCTTCGTTGTCACAGATGGATTTCTTGTGCATTATGTGGTTGTTTCAGTAAATCGAGATTAAGTTTGTTTGGTTTTGGTGGATTTTATAAAATGATGCAAAGAATTACAAAACATGTTTTCATGGCACAAACGTGCCATCACTATTTCTTAAGTGAATACAAACGCTGATCAATCAATCGTTTGAAATCTTAGTTCATACGATTATGCTTGATGACGTGAACGTAAAGACCCAATGGCTCAACTGTACATAGGCCAAGACATAATACCCTGAAAAACCATCCTGGATAGTTTCCTCACAAATCGAACGTTTTCAGTACGAGTTGTCAAATCTCAAGTAGTTCTTTCTGGGGTACCACAAGGTTCTATTCTGGAACCAGTCCTATTTTTGGTATATCTAGCCGACCTCTCGCTAAAGCTCAAATCGCAGCATGCACTATATGCCAATTGATGGAAATGCACTGCAAGATCATCGGACTCTACAAAATTATATTATTTCCATCGAGCACTGGTGCTACGATTGGCTCATCCCACTGAATTTAAATAAGTGTACTGTTATACATATTGGTATAAATAATCCCAAGTCAACATATACTTTCGGTCAAGGTCAACTTATAACAACTGTCGAAAACCAAAATGATTTAGGTGTAGTAATCAATTTCAATCTCACCTGGTATGAACATATTTCCACCGTTGTAAAAAAAGAATTATATTTTAAATAAGTGTTTCCATCTGGAATGCTGTGTGAACATATGGTCCCCTTACCTGATAAAAGAAATTAATCTGATAGAGAGCGTGCAAAGAAGATCCACAAAATGGATCCCCAAATTTAAATCACTTCCATATCAACACCGTTTGGCTAATTTGAAATTACTTGTACTAATGTGAGACGTCTTCGTGATGATCTTATCCAAGTGTACCTACAAGATTCTAAAAAATCATTACAGCTTAACTTTCGTAGACTTATTTAGGTTAAATTTCGATGAACGTTTACGTGGTCATCAGTTTAAATTGTCGAGAGAAAACCAAAACATCTTTGGGTAAAAATTTCTTCCCAAATATTGTGTTCTACCATTGGAATAGCCTACCTTCATCTGTTGTTACTGCCCCATCGGTCAACTCTTTTAAAAACAGGTTGGATGCATGGAGGCATGGTTGGATGCCTGTTTCGCTAGTTGGCTGTGATTTGTATTGTTATTTTGGTATTCTGTTCACATATTTATTTGTTCTTTTTCTTTTATGTTATTTATTTTACTTTTACTTTAAAAGCTGTTAATTGTCATTTTGTACATTTTATTGGACTTGCTAATATGTAATAATAAATATTTTATTTAAATAAAAAAATAAAAAAAATAAAAATTTTATAAAAAATAAATATTTTATTGGACTTGCTATTATGTAATAATAAATACACGGTATTAACTTGGATTCAATTCTCTTAAAATACGAGCGATTTCATTTAAATTTCACAAATAGCTTTAGTTTCTGATTATCCTTAAACGTACTTATACTGATGACACAGTATCGTTACAAAAACGGTCGTACTTCCAGGGCAGGACTTCGTCGTTTTTTCCACATTTTCTTTCTTTCATAACTAAAGGTTTTCAAAAAATTTACTCACCCTGCATATTGCTAAGACAGATTTTTAAAATTTCTCAATAACCACGTTATCAAGAATTCAATATTATTTACCGCTCAGCTGATTTTCGTAACTTGAAATGAACTTCAGGTTTTCATTCATTTCGAACACACTGTAAATTAAAATCGAAGGGTTTCCGGTCATGTGATTATAGTAACTTTTTTTATTTAACACAGGTGTTGATTTTTGTTTGGGTTCTCACTCCCATGATTCCTTGTAACTTCTTCCATCTACACCAACGATTATCTAATACAAACTTGGTTTCAAGAGAAAAACAAAGGAAAATCTTCCGTCTTAAATATACTAAAAAACGAGATGTTCGAAAAGAACATAAATAAAAGAAAAATGTTTATATGAACTTCATTACTAAAATGCCGCTCCAAAGATATAATGCAACATCGTTGAGACAAAAGACAAAAATGTAAGTTAAACAGCCAGACACATAAAAAGTTGCAGGTAGCTAAGAGGTTAAGAATCCCAAAAAATATCCTTTTTTTACATACTTATTTAAGAAATGTATTGCATTCACACAAACATCAAATAAGAAGTATCTGGTTAAAATAATATACAAGAATGTTGTTTCTATACTATATTCATTGTTTGATTTGTGCATCTAAGTACAGTAAATATGATATTTTTTGAGATTCCAAGAAAAGAATAAGCCAATAAAGTTCTGTTATCGGAAAATTTTCCGCCAATGTCTTTCTACCCCGGGTATTGGTGCAGATAACTCCAGGAAAGTGACGCAGGGGTCTTCTTGGAATTCTATCTCAATAAATATTGTATGGACTGTAAATTGGTCTAAATCGTCTTATCAAAGAAGTCTGTGTGTCATCCCAATATATCTGAGACACCTTGTATTATAACGATTATTAGAATTAGTTTTTCTTTTAGATAGAAACTAAATTTCTTGACATGAAGTGAAAATTTATAAATTATTTAATACTTTTAATTAAACTATTCAATCAGTAGTTAGAAGGTTTAGTGACAGTGTCTTTAATACATCATACAATTGTAATACAAAAACTAATTAAAAAATATAAAACTTTTAATCGTTAGTGGCTAATACTGAATCAATTATAGGTACTTTTCAAGGGGTGTGACCAGAAATTTATTAAAAAAGAACCAGCACATATTTGTACATCTTTATTAACTTATAAGGTTTCTCTAATGCTTGCGGTCTTATTTTGATTAAATAAACTACATAATACAATTTCGTTTTGTTAAGTGACATCAGATAAATAATTGAACATGACAGGGAATATTGTTAACTATATAGTCATTTAATTATATACTAATTAATATTAATTAGGTAGTTTCACTAGGCAACAATATTTTTTTTAATTTCAAAATTTTTGCATATACCTAGGTAAGCAATTTTTTATGTAAAATATAAGTAAGTAAGTAAGTAAGTAAGTAAGTAAGTAAGTAAGTAAAATCTTTATTAGTTCACTTTGCATAAGAAATACAAAATACCCTTAGGGTGTAGGACTCGTCAATTATATGTAGTAAAAAATAGTAAAAAGTTAAATATTTAAATATAAGAAGTAATATTAAATATAAAACAAGATGCACACCAATACTAACATTGCTAATAAGTAAACACAAACAAAATAACACAATTACTGCACTGATACATACATACATAGTATAATGACAATAAATCAATATATATTATCTTCAAAAAATTCCTTTAAAGTATAATATGCTTTATCTAAAAGAATTTTATTTAATTTTACCCTAATATCTTTGCACGGTAAATTTCTTATACCTAGAGGTAATTTATTATAAATTTTAAGTAATGAACATGGGACATTCCTTTGAATATAACTATATTTTACAATATTTTCAGTCACTAATGCATTTTTGTTTCTGGTATCATATAAGTGAGATAAGTTAAAATCTGCGAATAAATTTATATTTTGCTTAACAAATATAATTACTTCGATAGCATCACTAGAGTTTCCCCAGAAGACAATT